TAAGTTTCTCTTTTATGAAAAATAAACCACTGGCTCCATTATCACTGCCCCTATGCACATGGATGTAGGGAGATCCACCGTAGCATGGACATGGGCAACCTAACACAGGACACAGTGCTGAAGAAAACTGACTTCCAGAATCCTGACACATGTTCTGTGATATTTCATTGTGATTTTCATTTGTATTTCTCTGGAAATTAGTGATGTTCAGCACCATGGTGTATATCTGTTTACCAATTTATCTCATTTTAAAAAATGTCTCCGCACATTCTTCACACTTGAGTGAGATTGTTTTTTCTATTAATAGTCTTTTGGGATGCTTACCCTTTATTAGTTATACAGGCTTGAAATGCAGAAATATTGACACACTATACCAGGTAAATTCCCTTGTAATTTCAAAGAAGCCCACAGAAGGCTCAAAACCCCATTAAGGATTATTTAAAAGCACAGTGAAGTAAAAAAAAAATGGAGAATATACACACAAAACAGTTTGTGAGATCAGTATGCCTGGATAGTGGAGAGATGACAAAAGGCAAAAAAGAAAGAGTCTGTCAATATTGTCCTCACAGTTAGAACTACTCTGAACATAATAACCTCTTCCACAAAGAAGTCCCATAATTTGCAGGCACAAGGATTGGTCTTATCTTATAGAAAACAAAGAGGAAATTATATTAAGAAAAGCAAGCCAGACACAAAAAGTCAAATGGTACACAATTTCACTTACATGCAGAGTCTGGAAATTCTTGAATTTATAAAAGTAGAAGGTAAAGTGGTGGTTATCAAGACATAGATCATATAACTGAGCTTGATGTTTATTAACCAAGCTAGTATTTTAGAAGTAAGAATAAGCTTGAGTTGTATACAACATAGTGACTGTAATTAACAGTGTATTATATTCTTAAAAATTGTTAAAAGAATAGATTATTAAGTGTACTCACCTAACAAAATGATATGGCATTTGAAATAATGCATGTGGTATTTAGCCCAATTTAGCCACTCTACAATATACACATTTCACAATAACTAATACACACCAAAGACATTTAACAGTTATTTATTAATGCTAAGTACATAAATAATACAATAAAATAAATAAAATCTCTAGGTAAGATCAAAAGATAATAAAATCTACCTAAATTCTCATGCCAAGAGAAGTAGCACTATTGACAATTCAACATACACATTTTTTTCAAAAATATATAAAATTTTAAATCTTAATGACTTTCCTTCTTCTTTACTTTTTTTTGGGAAATATTTTACTTTTTTATTTTATGTCTATGACTATATTACATGCATGTATGCAAATATACCTGTGTCATGCAATGCCCATGGAGAAGAGGTCATTGGAGTTCCCTGGAACTGGAGTTACACATGGTTGTTAGCAACCATTTGGGTGCTGGGAGTTGAACCCACATCCTCTGCAAGAGCAGCCAGTGCTCTTAACCCCTGAGCAATCTCTCCATATCCTTTTTATAACTTCCTAACCTATCCTGAACAGTTCTCCATATGATTAAATATTATTCTATAATCATATAT